TGTGTCCCCCCCCTCCTGCCTGCCCCCCAGCTGCCTTCCCCCAGGAAAGACAAGGCAAAGCTGGGACACCTCAGTGTCACCCTAAAAACAGTGTGGGGATATCCATGTGGAACAGGCTGTGGGATGGGGGTCCCCCAGGCTGATGACACCAAACACAAACCCCTCTTTGAGGCCTGCCCCGTCCCCTCCCTGCGTGCTGCGTGCCCTCGTCTGTGCAGCATCACAGCCCTTTAACCACATTAAAACACATTGTTAAGCAGGATCGATAAATTAGGGGAGTTCAAAGACATCTTCATGTATTTCATCAGAGGGGATGGGAAAGGCAGCACAAGCCCAGGCATTGTGGAAGCTGTTTCAAAGCTGACAGGGAGACGGTGGGATGCTGGATGGGGACAGCCAGGTCAGGCAGGGCCACAGATCCTGACTCTGCCCTTGCTTATGGAAGAACCATGGCAGCTGCAAAAAAAATCAGGATTCCTCCTCAAATCACCCCTGAGGCCAACTTTCTAAATGTCCCTCACCAGGCAGCAATGTCAGGGGTGTCACCCTCTTGTCCCCAGAGGCTGCAGAGGACCTGAGGGGGAGGCTGGGGGCACCAAAAGCACTTTTCCTGCACTGGGGCCACCCCACATGTCCCCACAGGGGGGTGATGCTAGCCAAGCCTGGCCTGCATCCCCAAAGTCCTCCATCATTCAGGGTACCTTTTGGGAGGACATGGAGAGGAGGTGCCGGGGCCTGACCAGACAGCAGGGATGGGGATAGGGATGCAGGACAGGCGCAGGGTCTTACCTGAGAGGCCAACATGTGCTGGGAGAGGTGGAAAGGGAAGGGGGTGGCCGTCCCTGCCGCGCCCGGGGCGGACGAGAGGGCTCCATTCTCCAGGCTGCCCCCACCGGTCACCGAGGCCAGCAAGTGTCCCATGCCCATGGCAGAGAAGGCGCCGGGGGCCATGGCGAACTGTCCCGGGTGGATGAAGAGGGGCTGCCCAGCACCCAGCGGGCTGAAGAACTGCTGCCCGTGGAGGCCGGAGAGCGCCAGGCTCTGCAGGTGCCCGGCGCTGAGGTGCGGGGGGCTGTCCGTGTGCACCATCAGCGGGGCGAAGGCCTCCTTGCCCAGCCCGCCGCCCTCCGTGTCCTTCTTGCCCGGCTCCGTCTCTTTCCTCCGTCCTTCCACCTTGTCCTTCTCCAGGCCCCGCGTGCCGAACAGGCCCTCGCCGGGACCCTCCCGGGGGGATGCGCCATCCTTGACCTTCTCCGGGCTGTGCCTCTCCTTGCCCCGCTCCTCCAGGCACCGGGGGCTGCCCCGGGGCGTCGCGTCCTCCCCGCTGGGGCTGGCGGCTGCCACCGGCCGCTCCTCGGGCACCTTCTCCACCTCCGCATCGCTGTCGGCCCCTGGCTTCTCCTCTGCAAGGGGATGGAGGGGCAGAGAGTCAGAGCAGAAGCACCCAGGGGAGGCGAGGAGCGGGTCACTGGCGAGAGCCCTGGTGGCAGGGAGAGGTTGCGACAGCGAAGCTGCGATCGTTATTAACGAGAGAAACTCATTTTGGGGGCAGAAATGGGCCCTCGCGCTACGGCCGCTCTGGGGAAAAGGGGATTAGCAACAGCAGTCCTGCTGCTCTGCCAAACAGAAAAACATGTTTGATGGAGAACCAAAATCTATTACAGCATCGCTCTCGTTAGCTGCAAACTCCGAGCGGGGGATGAGGAGAGCGGGCGCTGGACAGCGCGGGAGGAAATGGTCCTCCATAGATTTAATTACGTGGAGCTGATCAACTGCGTGCCGTGGATTTATTCCAAATGTGCAGGTTGAGGCAGGTTAAAGAGGCAGTTTTAAGGCAGGGAGTACGGCACAGACCCTCCTAAAAGGGGCTTTAATTTAAAAAACCCCATCGAGCTCTCAGAGGAGGATGGGGGATGCGAGGGGCTGGCGAGGGGAGCTGAACCCCTGCCCGGCTCCACTAAACGAGAAAAGCCTTTTGGTGTGGGTGAGGTGAAGCTCTGCAGGCTGGGGCGAATATTCGGGGAAGCCTTTGAAAGTGGAGAGGGGTGTAATAAACCCTCCCTCCAGCTCGGGAGAGGGGGGGGTTGCAGTTTTGATGAAGGTTTGCAGGGAATCGGGCTGGTGGAAAGTTTAAAGAGCAGACTGATAGTGCGGCAAGACAAAACCCAGCATCGAAAAACTGCTACGTGGAGCCGCTGGTTTATTTTCGTTCACCAGCTTGCAGCCCTGGAGTTACAACATTTTTTTCTCCTTTCAAATGAATTAATTCTTTCTGAGTTTTTATCCTCTTTTTTCTTTTTTTTTTTTTTTTTAGGGAATGTGAGCTTCCCAGGGAAGGCAGGGCACACACCAGTAAGGAGCCAGGCTAATACGGAGAGCGCACGGTCTGCCTTGCCATTTCTCCTTGTATAATATAAATACAAGATATAAACTGTATAGAAGATGCAATGTATAGTCAAGATAAAATATATAAAGAGAAAAAACGTTGCAACTCGTGAATGCCATTGGAGTTTGCTCAGTTCTTGTCTTTTCCTCCCTGCGCATCCCCGTCTTTATTCTCCTTGGTGTTTTGCCTCACTGCCCCCAAGAAATCAGCACACAGCAGCCCCGAGGGAGCAGAACCCCGATGTTTGGGGACGTTTGGGGATGTCTGGGGACCGAGACTCCTCCGTTACCTCTGCCGCTGCCCTTGAGGCGCAGGGGGCTGGGGAGGGCACCCACGGGCGAGTGGAGGGCGTCGCGCACGGCCGAGGGCTCGCAGGAGGAGGCGTCCGACTCCCCGCCATCGCGGTCGGGCTTGCAGGGCTCCTCGTACATCCGCAGGGACGGCAGCGAGAGCTGCTTCCTACGGGC